TGTGTGTGTGTGTGTATGTGTGTGTGTGCTGAGGACGGAACCCAGGGCCTTGAGTATGGTAGGTAAACACTCTGCCACAGAGCTGTACCCTCAGCCCAAGCTGATTTTTAAATTTACCTGCAACTGCACAGCTGGAAAGACAGACAGATTTGTAAAGAGTGACGACATGTGACTTTGTGAGAGTACCAAGTGGGCTGGGATACGCTCAGGGCCTTCCTTGATTTACTGCCAGGGAAAGCAACAGGGTCTTTCTATCTGGGACACTTGGAATAATTTGGTTCCATAGGAATATAGTCCTCCTTCCCCAGGGCCAACAGCAAGCTCGACAGGCCACTGGATTCCCTAGGGAAGCTCTAGCTGGCCTGTTACCTTGGTAATCTGAGTTGTGGTGGTGCTGCTTGTGGTCTCAGATGTGATGGTCTGGGCTGTCAGCAAGACTCCCGGGTCCAAGTCCCCATTGCTGTCCTCAGTCTGCAGAAGAAAGTACAACTCATCATCATGCCTCTCAGGAAGCTTGGCAAATATTGCAGGCTGCAACTGTGCTCTTCAATGGTACGTTCTAATGCAATAATCAAATTCCCTTATAGTGACCTTTTGTGGTGTGTATATGTTTCACTGGGGATTGAACCCAGGGCCTCAAGACAAGGCAAGAGTCCTACCACTAAGCTACATCCTAATTCTACACAGAACTCTTAATTAACAAATAGAATAAATCCCAAGGAAGAAGGCACCTCTAACAATGTCAAATGTATGTGGTTTTCTTAGCACGTCAAGGATAGGAGTGGATCAGAAAGAGGAGGCAGGAGTGCAGTCACAGGTTCAACAAGAGTGACATACTGCACACAGGTCACAGGTACATTTTATAGTTCACAAATGACTTCCACAATTTTTTTTTTTTTTTTTTTTTGCTGGGAATTGAACCCAGGACCTCACATATGCAGGCAAGCCCTCTAACTGGGCTACACTCCCAGCCCTGTAAGTAGTTTTTTTTTTTTAAAGTATATTTGTTTAAAGGCTGTCAGCTTTATTTTTCTTTTGAGATGTGGTGTTGCTATGTTGCCCTGGCTAGTTCTGAATTTTGATCTTGGATGATCCTCCTGCCTCAGCCTTCAGAATAGCTGGGACCACAGGTGTGTGCCACTACTTGGCATTATATTTAAGAACAGGACCACATTTAATTTACCCAAAAGCCCTGAGATATTGAGGGGAGCAGATGGAGGAGAAGAGAATAAGAAAGGAACAGAGTCCTTGGTTGGGTTCCTCTACAGATGGGCATCTGGATAAAAAATTAAAGAGAGAGACACTGTGACCCCTAAGTCATACCAGGTATAGAATTAGTTCAATAACATTTTCTTTAGCCCAGATTCAGATTCAACTAACATTTACTGCATTTCTACTATGTGTCAAGCACATCATGCAACTGTTGTCTCAATGATGCTTCTCAACATCATGAGAAGATACTATTATTATATTCACTATGCAGTTAAGAAAAGTATGACCCAGAGAGGTCAAATAGTTTGTCCAAGGTTCTACAGTAGAACCTAGTAGGTGTTTGAACTAGGATGCAGACCAGGCAAGAGACTTCTTGTGTGAAGACTGGAGTTTGAGTCCCAGCTCAGACAGTAACTAGCTGTGGGACAGGGAAAGTCGTTTGCCTTTCCTGAGCCTTAGTTTTCTCATTTATAGTTTTCATACATTATGCTGTAATATGTGCTCTGCAGATACCATATCACTGTTGTGAAAATCAAAAGAAATTATAGAAATAGAAGTTCTTTATAAACTAGTGTAAGAATATAAATTTTCATGCAAGGACTGCTGAAGCTTTGTGCAGAGCTTCTCCTCTATAAATCTGTCACTGTCCCCACCTCCCACCCACTCTTCTACTCTCTCTCTGAAGAAGGTGGAAATGGAGGCGACACTGTTACAGCTGACTATTTTCATTCTTCCCACACGGGGCCTCTTCCTTTCTTGATCCTCTAACCAATGTTTCTCAAAATGATATTGTGGCTTTGAGGCTGGGGTTATGGCTCAGTAGTACAGCACTTGCCTAGCATGCGTGAGGCACTGGATTGATCCCCAGCACTACATAAACAAATTAAATAAACAAAATAAAGGTATTGTGTCCATCTTCAACTAAGAAAAAAAAATGATACTGTGGCTTTGACAACAGCTTATAGACACCCACTTACCCTATAATCCAGGAATTCTACTCTTAGGTGTTCACCCAAGATATGTCCACACAAAGACTTGTACATGAATATTCACAGCAGTTTGATTCATATTTACCCCAAGCTGGGACTAACCCACTTGTTCATTACCAAATGAAAGGATAAAAAAAATTGAGATATATTAATACAATGGAGTACTATTCAGCCATAGATAAGCATGAACTATGGATTCACGTAATACAGATGAATCTAAGAAACACAGCACTCAAAGAAGCCAGACATAAAGTATGTAAATTTTACCACAAATGCATTCTTGTGGGCATAAATAAAAAACCTACCACAGCTCCCTATCTCATTTTACCACCTGTTCCAAAGTGTGGAGATTGTGAACAAATAAAAAAAATGATACTTGTGCTTACTTGTCAAGAAAGACAATTAAAAAAAAAAGCAGCAGAAATGGTTACAGTAAATGACAACAGCAGCAAATAGATACCTGGTGCTTATTATGTGCCAGATACTTTGGAAGCATGTTACATATATTAATTTATTCTTCTTAACAGTGCTGTGAGCTAGAACTATTAGTGACATTTTACAAACGAGGAAACTGAGGCACAGAGCAATTTAGTAACCTGATTACACACTAGGTAGGAAGTGATGAAGCAGGTTCAAACCTAGGAAATCTGACTCTCTGGGCAACACTCTTTCCCACTGCACATCACTGTCTAACATGAATTCTAAAAAGCAATTTGTATCTTGGCTGACTGTTATGCATGGCTAAAACAAAAAAGGATCAATGTATGAAATGCAATATGCTAAGAACTACCATTTTTGAATAGTTACTATATATGTCTCAGGCAAACATGATATTTATTTCAATAACTCTATAAAAAGTAATTTCCAGAAGAGAAAACTAAGGTTCAAAAAGGTTAAGTGATCTGCCCAAGGTCAAAAAACTAGTAAGTGGGCTGGGGATGTGGCTCAAGCGGTAGCGCACTCGCCTGGCCTGCACGGGGCGCTGTGTTCCATCCTTAGCACCACATAAAATAAAATAAAGATGTTGTGTTCACCAAAAAACCTAAAAAATAAATATTAAAAAAAAGCCCTAGTAAGTGTTGAAATTAAGTATCCCTAACTCCAAAGCTGGTGTAATTTGTCCAGGCATCTTGCTCACTTTATATTTCTCTTACATTATTTTTTAAAACCATTTAAAAATATGTTTAACTGCATTTTTCTTTTGGGGGTGGGTGGGTACTAGGGATTGAACTCAGGGGCACTCGACCACTGAGCCACATCCCTGGCCCTGTTTTGTATTTAATTTAGAGACAGGGTCTCACTGAGTTGCCTAGGGCCTCGCCTTTGCTGAGGCTGGCTTTGAACTCATGATCCTTCTGCCTCAGCCTCTCGAGCTGCTGGGATTACAGGCGTGTGGCACTTGCGTCTGGCTAATAGCATTTTTTATGGTTAAAAAAAAAAGTTCAAATGTCCAACATTAATTATGTTTAACATTTGGCATACATATGAATAAAGATAAAAGGTGCTGAGTAAACACTACAGTTAAATAAAGACATCATACATACAATGAGCTATAACTTATTTCATGAATAAATAAGAAAAAGTCCCTGGCTGAAAGGATTTTTGTTTCCAATATTGTTTAATTTGGATGCCCCCAGCAAATCTCCACCATTAGACCAAAATGATAATTATCCCCACCAGGCAATCACAATCAACCACACCACTGGCCCCACAGGTTTGGAGGGAAATGTTTGGTGTGTGGTTCTACAACCCCCACCCCCCATTTTTTAAATTGATGCATTATAACTGTACACAGGATGGGATTTGTTGTTGCATATTTGCACATGCACACAATATAACAATATAATTTAGACACTGTCACTCCCTGACACTTCCCTCTTTCTTCCCTCCCGCTACCCCTTGGTCCCTTTCCTCTACTGATCTCCCTTTGATTTTCATGAGACCTGTTCCCTCCTTTCTCTTCCTTTTTCCTCTCTAGCTTATGTAGCATATGAGAGAAAACATACATCCCTTAACCTTCTAAGTTTGACTTATTTCACTTAGTACATTGTTTCTAGTTCCATCCATTTTCCTGCAAATGACAAAATTTCGTTTTTCTTTATGACTGAATAAAACTCTATTGGGTATACAGACCACATTTTCTTTATCTATTCATCTGTTTGCGGATACCTAGGCTGGTTCCATAGTGAATTGAGCTGCTATAAACGTGGGTATGCATGTATCACGGTAGTATGATGACTTCAATTCTTCAGGATAAATACTGAGGAGTGGTATAGCTGGGTCATATGGTGGCCATGCCTAGTTTTTTGAGGAATCTCCAAATTCTCATAGTGGTTGTACTAATTTACAATCCCAACAATAGTGTCAAGGTGTTCCTTTTCTCCACATCCTCTCCAGCAGTTGTTACTTGAACTCTTGATGCCTGCCATTCTGACGGGTGTAAGATAAAATCTCAGTGTAGTTTTGATTTGCATTTCCCTAATTGCTAATAATATTGAACATACTTAATTTGTTGGCCTTTTGTATTTCTTTCTTTTTTTTTTTTCCCCGAGAAGTATCTGTTTAACTCATTTGTCCATTATTAATTGGGTTACTTGATTTTTTGGCATTAAATTTGTGAGTTCTTTATATATTCTAGATATCAATCCTCTGTCAGAAGAATAGCTAGCAAAGATTTTCTCCCATTCTATAGTTTCTCTTTTCACATTCTTAATTGTTTCCTCTGCTGTGCAAAAACTTTTTAATTTGATGCCAACCCACTTATTAACTCTTGGCTTTATTTCCCAAGCTTTATGGGTTCTATTGAAAAAGTTATTGCCTGTGCTTACACACTGGAGTGTTAGTTTCTGGTCTAATTCCTAGATCTTTTTTTCCCTTTTCTTTTCTTTTTGGTACCGGGGATTGAACTCAGGGACACTCGACCACTGAGCCACATCTCCAGCCCTATTTTGTATTTTATTTAGAGACAGGGTCTCACTGAGCTGCTTGGTGCCTTGATTAGTACATGGTCTCTAGTTCCATGGGGCTGGCTTTGAACTTTCGATCCTCCTGCCTCTGCCTAGTGCCACTGGGATTAAGGCATGCACCACAGCACACAGCCTAATTCTTAGGTCTTTGATTCATTTTCAGTCGATTTTTATGCAAGTTGAAATATAAGGGTCTAGTTTCATTCTCTCTATATGGATAACCAGTTTTCCCAGTACCATTTGTTAAAAAGGCTCTCTTTTCTCCTATGAATGTTTTTGGCATGTGATTCTATAATCTGGTTCCAGCTTGAGGAGCAACCCCTTGCCTTTGGTCACCTGACTTTTAAACTGCACCAGCATTTCCAGCTGGCTTGAACTTAAAATGCTACCACCCAGAGACATTGCTCTCATTAGATTCTAAATCTTTTAAATTATTTTTCAATTAAAAAAATTTTTTTGAGGTACTGAGGATTGTACCCAGGGATGCTTTACCATTGAACTACATTCCTGCCTTTTTAAAAATTTTGAGAGAGAGACAGTCTCACAAAGTTGCTTAGGGCCTCCCTAGGTTGCTAAGGCTGGCCTTGAATTTGTGATCCTCCTGCCTCAGTCTGCCAAATTCTTGGAATTACAGGCTTGCCCCACTGTGCCCAGCTGACTTTTCAATTTCAAAGAGAGAGAGGGAGGGAAAGAAGAAACTGATCAGAATTAAGACCACCCTAGGAATGTTCTTAATCTCCTTTTTCCAGCTTTTGGCTGATATACGCAACTACAGAACAAATATAACCTTCCCCCACAGTATGAGACTAAACCAGCAGCTTCTGGTCTAGTGTTCAGAAAAGATGCACTGCCTAAAAGGTTGGGCTTGTGATGTGACTCCAGTGGCCTCTACAAAAAAACCAGTAGATGGTCACAGTATCAGCACTGTCCTTGGGTCCTTCCAAATTTCATAGGCAGGACCCCTGTGAGGAGAGCAGCCTGTACTTCTGTTCGAGGATGGCTGTGTGCTTTCCAGGGCACAGCCTGGATGAACGATCCTAAGCTTTCTAGGCATAGGTAAGTCAACCATGTTAGAGCTGAGGGGATACTGGTAAGAGCAAGAGGTCCCCCAAACATCTGGGCCAAGTCCTGCATGAAGGCACAGCTAGGAATCCAGACCCTTACAAGCTGTAGACCTTGGTCATGCTGCCCAAGCATACTGCAAGCAGTTTGGCCTTGCTGCAGCTCTTGAGGCGGTGTACACATCCAGTGCTGTTGAGCTGCTTGCTGAGCCATACACTGTGTCCATGCGGCCACTACAGTTCCAGCATGCAGCTCTGGGCTTTGGGCTTATATGGCCCCACTCCCTGGGAGCTTCAGCAAGCTGACTCCCTGGAGCAGGGCTCAGCGGATGGGCAGCCATGGGGCCCTCACCCAACCCCATCTCTCTCAGGTTATTTTGAAGTAACTGCTTTTTTATCGCATAGACTTCTGTGGGCAGTGTATGGCCCTAATTTTTAGAAAAATTTCTTTTGAACCATTACTTTTTCTGTGGGGGAGGGTGTGTATAGGCTACAAACTTCAAAAACTTCAAAATGTTGTAAAGTGAAAAGGCAGTCTCCCTCCTACTTCTGACCAGAAGTCCCACAGTTCCATTTTCATTCATCAGAGGCCAGCACACTTCTTGTTATTTTATTTTAGTTTTTTGTAGTATCCATTCAGAAAGAGTATACTGCTATCCAAGCCCACACACATAGCTCTTCCATACACAGCTATATATACTTCCCTTTTCCCTTCCACAAACAGTAGCATGTTATTCACACCATACCGCAGCATTCACAGATTTATCACGTAGCTCGTTCCCATGCAGAAGCCACATAGAATTACCTTAATTAGATGTTCCATAATGTACTTAACCAGCTCTCTACTGATGGACATTTAGGTTGTTTCCATGGTAGTGAGAGTTTAAAGGGATTCCTTCCCATATGTAAGTAATTCATTTTCTACATCCTCTGGCATAATAGCATACACAATCTTAAATTAATTTTTTATTCCTTCCTTTTCTCAGTCCTCTTCATTGCCAAGTCCTACTCATTCATTTTTCTTTCTCTCACTCTTATTTTTTTTTGAGGGGGAGGTATTGGGATTGAGCCCAGAGTCTCCTGCATGCTAGGCAAGTTCTCTACCATTGAGTTATACACAGAGCCCTTTTAAAAAATTTTTGTTTAAATAGGGTCTCACTAAATTGCCCGGCCATACCATGCATGAGGCCCTAGGTTGGATCCCCAATTTGTACACATATATGAATGAATGAATGAATACAAGAAGGAAGAAGAACCCCCACCAGAGAACTTTAAGCAACTTCTCATTTATCAAACTAAAATCCTACACTCTGGACTTTATTTCACCTAATCTTCCTCCAAATCTTACAGTGGGTAGATACATTATCCCCCATTTATAGCCAAAGAAACAAGTTTGGGAAGACTGGTTTTTTTTTTTTTTTTTTTTTTTTTTTTGTAGGTACTGGGGATTGAACTGGGGGCCTTGCACATGCTAGACAAGCACCATCCTACATCCTACATTTATTGTATCTACTCTAGTCTTTGTTCTGAAGCATCATGAGGTGTCCTACCTGGGCAGCCTCATAAGTGATGGTCTTGGTCTCGGTGTGGACAATGGGGACGTCTTTGGTCGGGATTTCACTTTTCACAGCATTTGCAGTATCTGATATAGTGACAGTCTGAGTCTTCACCAGTGGGGGCTGTGAAGTAGTAAAGTAACAGAGTTATCAGAGTCTTGCTGAAGGCTTGAAGAACTAAACCTTCTGACATTGATCTGATCAAAGCTTTAGCTAGAATCAAGCAAAGGGTGAGCTGAATCTCCAAAGGTGTTTCCTCTGCCCAAGTCTTGGACTCTATTCCAAAGTCCTCCTGACAGGGTGTCACATCATGAGGGATATTAAAAAGCAGCATTACTGTAATCACTTTCATAAGCTTAATGGAAAACTTTAAGATCAGACAGTTATGACTTGTATTATAAAACACTTCAGACTGACCTTCAGAATTTGAATATAAAACTATTTGCCAAATAGCCATCACTTTCATTTGTCCTTGTGGATGTACCATTATAATTAAGAAAATCGGCCACATTTCCTCCACTAAATACAAAACGGTACAAGAAACAGCAGAGGCACTGGAATGCATTACCCTGGGATTCATTAACTTCTCTCAAATCAATGTCAGACATTCACACTGGGCTCACTGAAAAGAAGCAGAATTTGGAAAACTGGAAAGAAAAAAAATCAGTTCTACCACCACCTGGTGATTAATCTCAGAATTTCAGAAGAATGAACATTAGTGGAATATCAAAGGCCTTCTTGTCCATCTGCTCACCTTCCCCAGTCACCTTAAAACTACCACTGGACTGTGATTGGGTTAAGTGACCATCCACCTTGGCACAGGGAATTAGTGTCTACAATCATGGAATCCCCTAGGAGTAGGGTCAGTGGGTGTGGTGGACTACGCAGTGGGGCTATAGTATATCGATTATTATTTAGGGCCTGAAATCTCACCAAAAGATCAGCTGCCCCTGTAAGGAGTCCTGGAAATTTTTGAACATGGTCTCAGAACACTGAAGGTTCCTCACCACGGAAGTCTCCAAAATTCACCTCTTTCCTTCACCTATACTTACTTGAACAACTAATAGATGAACATACTTACACCAGCTTCATAAAGTAAATAGCTGGAATTTATTCCCAAGAGTTTTGTTAAGTTATCAGGGGAGAAGGTACCTAGTCATAGAGTTGATTCCTCTGAATTAATTTCTTTATTATAATCAAAGGCTTTAATTTTACTTTGTGATTTTGAAGAAAAAAAGAAGAGAAGCTGCTACCCTCACCACCACCACCACCACCACCTCCTCCTCCATAGGACAGATTCTGGCCCTCTCCCAGAGAGTCATTACACCTGAGTCATCCAATCAGTCACTACCTGGAAACTTCGAATGAGGGTGGGGAACTGGGTACCCACACGTAAGTCAAGAAATGATCCGTTTTGTTTTCCAAGTGGCTCTCCTGGGGTGACATGTTCTTCACTACTGTCTGCCTTTTTTTCACCAAGTTGCAGCTGACAGGAAGCTGGTGTTACTGAGGGTGTTAAGACACTGGCCTGTCCCTCCACTCCTGGACATTCCCCACCTGGGCCTCTTAGCATCTCCTTAGTATCTGGAGAGCCAGCTGCCCCCTGTTCCTTCTGCTCTGTCTCCTTGCTGCTTGTGGAGAGGGAGCCAAGGTTAAAGCTCTGTGGAGACGCTGATGGGGTGGTCATCTGGCTCTCACTAGGAACTACCAACTGCTTGGGGCCCTCCCATTCAGAGTCAGGGTTAGTAGATGACCCTTTTGTCACGACAGCCACCTCCTCGGTGCGAATGCCATTTATACTCTACAAATGAACGAACACATATAAAAACAAGAAGATTAGGAATAAGCGGTGGAACATAACGAACTTTGAGAATCAACAATGATTTTTAAGATGCCTCACCAATGTTAATATAAAGCAAGAATCTTGGCTCTGAGGTAATCAAAAGCAAGAACTGCTGCCATTTGCTACATTTATCTGCAGCTTAAGCAACTCCAATTCATTTTGGTCATATTTCTGTAACATTGTTAATTTGAGAATTAATTCCCATGCGCCTCACACAGTACACCTAGCACTTTGTAGTCTTATGATCTTGGCTGTATAACATATTCTCTTCAGGAGAATACTTACAGAAGTCACTTTGTCATTCCTAAATACCTAACTCATTACTATACACAGGACACAGTACAATTTATGAGTCAATCATAACATGTTCTTGAGAAGCTGATCAGGTTGAAAAATATCTCCGAGTTTCAGGCATCATCATGCTAACTCCAAACAGAGAAGCTAAAATCTAGATTTGATTGGCAGGAAGAGAGAGACACAGGTAGCAGACACTCTAATCATGGTCACAACATCAGACGTGCTATCCAAAATAGTGAAATGTTTCTCTGAAAACAATACAAATGACCAGCAGCTGAGATGTGTTTCTTCACAGATGAATGACAAAACACTTCAATTTATGAGAGAGATAAATTCTGGAAACACAGTTTCCTCCTGGGCTAAATGCTTCTCATCACAGAAAAAAAATAGTTTTTAAAAAGTACAGGGAGAAGATGATAGCACTACAGAAGATGCACCTATTCCTATAGGTTTAAAGAAACATCAAGTGCTCTAAGTGGAGGAGGAGGAGGAGGAATTCCCATCTGCAGGAATATGAACCTTTGGAAAAATGAACAATCTAAGTGAAGCCAAAGGCAGTGGCAAGCAATAGTCTACACGTGCTCGCTTGAAATGTGCATATGTAAAGAAGCCACTTAAGGCCTTAATTTCTGGTAAAGTCACTTTACCATATTACATGCCACAGAGGAACCTAATAATAGAAAGGGACTCTTTTAAGAAAGTATTCCTGGAATCAATGACTAAGCTTGAACCAGTGTACATATTTTAGTGCTCAAACCATGTTACATGTGTTTATTATATTTTTTTAAAATTACTGCTACTCCTAACTCTGTGAGCCAGCCTACTTGTGGTGAATATAAACCAGTGCTCTATTAAGGCAAGAAAAGACGCCCTGCACCAGGAACTCCGGGCCAACTTCACTCCTCCACCCTCTTGAAACATGTGACACAAGAGCATCTCAACAGGCACGAGCTGAGTCCAGAGTAAGTGGTGCTTTCATAATCACTGAGGATGCATACGACTTGGAACATGAAGAGCAGAACTGAGAAACTGACAATAGGGCTGTTTCTGTCTGCAGATCAGAGACACAAAAAACATTCTTGCCAATAGTATATTACCAATAGAATATTAATTTCCTCATACTTAAAATGAGAATGAAACTTGGACTTGTAGAGGTCTGAAGATCAAATACAATAACATGAAAGCTTTTTTTTTTTTTTTTTTTTTTTTTGTAAATTCTAATGCATCAGACTGATTCATTTAATTTAACCAAATGATTAGCAGGGCACCTCTAATATAAGAGGACCTGGAGCACAAAAGATTTAATTTGTTGTGACACACAGCATGCTGTACTACTTTTAGGGCACTTATCTCACCATTTCTTTTGAGGTTGTTCAAAAACAGATTAGCTAATAATAAACAAATAGGCTTTCTTGGATTGCTGTAGGCTAGCCCTAGCTCTGTGGAACAGGGTATCCAACCCCACTCACATGGAAAGGAACTTTAAGGCCTCTCCAAACCTGTCACAACTGGGAAGGCTGACTAATAATAAGAAAAATACCTAGGAAAATCAAATAAGAGCCAATTTGGTGCCAATCTGCTCAAATGATAAGCAACATCTGTCATCAAGAAGCTATTTGTGAGCGGGCATGGTGGTGTACACTTGTAAATCCACCAGCTAGGGATGCTGAAGCAGGAGGATTAGGAGTTCAAAACCAGCCTCAGCAACTGTGAGGCACTAAGCAACTCAGTGAAACCCTGTCTCTAAATAAAATACAATATAGTGTTGGGGATGTGGTTCCATGGTCAAGTGCCCCTGAGTTCAATACCCAGTGGGAGGAGGAGGAGGAGGGGGGAGGGGGAGGGGGACGGACAGGGGCAGCAGCAGCTATTTGTGAATTAATTACATTGCTTAGGCCAGCACCACTTGACCCACAGTTGTCAAGTGCCACAAAGTTGTCTACAACTAGATCAATCTCTTTATTCCCCCAAAGCATATATATAAGAGATCAGGGTTAAGGTTGTAGCCATTATACTTTCAACTCAACAAATATTTACTGAGCTCCACATATGTGCTAGATTAGAAATAAAAAGAAAACTGTTAACAGCTGGTTTGGATTATCATTTATAGCACTCTCACCTATGGTCAAATTCACCTCTTCAGTTGGCTCTGCTGACTGGATCTTTTGGACAATAGAGACCATGATTTCCCAACCATCCTCGAAGGCATGCCCTATACTAAACTCACCCAATCACGGCCTGCACCTCTCACCCCAGCTTCCTTCATTATCTCTATTACATTGGTAAATGGTACTGTCATCTATCCAGTGCTCCATGCCCGAGAGTCATTTTCAACGCCTTCCTTACTCAATCTACCGGAGATTATATAACCAAGTCATCTTTATTCTATTCTGATATTCCCCTTATCTGTCTGCCTGTTTCTATTACCACATTTGCTACCTCCATTCAAGCTTTTACAATGCCTCACCCAGATTATTACAGAAACTCTCAACAGTTTTTCTTTTTTTTTTCACCTCAAACCTTCTTTGAATATATCCTCCATTCTGTTGCTAAAGTGTTTATTTCTAACATGAAGCACTGAAACCTCCATTTTTCCAGCTTAAAACTCTTCAGATCTTCACTGCCTTTTGGTTGAAGTCCAAACACTTTAGTAAGATGGAAAATCCTTCAAAATCTGACCCCTACCTCTCCCTCTAGCTTCATACTGCTACACATCCACATATAGCTTTCACTCCATTAACTCAAAACTATTTGCAGTTTCTAGTACACAGCGAACTTTCTTCTGCCTCCATTATTTTGTGAATATTGTTCCTTCTGGTTGGAAGTCTATGCCTAGCTCAAGTATCAGTTCTTCTGGAAGTTTTCCTGAGTGTCCACAGTGTAGTTAGATACCACTCCTGTTCGATTCTCATTATACCCTCATTACTGGTATCACCTGTCTTTTCCGTTGGACTTTGGGGAATAAGAACATCCTTATCCTTAC